TTCCGACCCATAGCGACCCTGTACAGGGTTTCCGAGGGTGTAAATCCTTACAGGAGTAGAAAGCCTCATCTTTCTCCCGCGGAGCGGCTGGTAATTTCGAACCGCTGACCTTAAGGTTCGCAGCCCGATTCGTAACCACTACACTACCAGAGCTCCTTAGACCTTCTCAAAAAGGTTTCAGTTTCCTTAGAAAGAAAGCACCATAAATAATAAAAACTTCTAATTAAAGGATGGAAACTATAAAAATTTCATCTGTATTCATATATTTCTTTACTACTTCAGAAGACCTTTCGTAAATGTGTTGATAGTAACAATCACCTTGGAAGGTAGGCAGGATTCATTTATTCATGCCAATAAGGTATCTTCCCCATAAACACTGAAGGATACCAACAAAAGTTTGCTGTTGGACCCAGCATTCATTTATTTTAAAAACAAATAAAAGTATTTTTTTCTGATTATCTTTAATTTCAGAAATTACATTAGGCATATATTTTTTAAATCTATCAAGACAATTTCGACAACATATATCTAAAATCCGTCTTCAGGTTCTTTTGGGATTATTGCTGAGTAAGCAACATTTTTAGTTGTAAGAAGTGTGACTTTGTTTTGCTCATGTTCTTTGAGGAAGAGAAAGTGGGTGTTGGCTGTTCAGATGTAGGTGTTCTGAAAATCAATGCAGAGTTCTTGTCTTTGGGTCCAGCTGGAACATGATTTCAGGTTGCAGAGCTCAGAATCTTTTTCTCTGGTGTTTTCAAAGTGGATTTAGTTGAAGGAGCTCTAGGATTGCTCTTCAATGATGATAGAAAGCTTCGATTTTTACCTTGATGTTTACTATTGCATGTTGTACAAGTAATCAGCAATACACTTTTGGGTCTTTATTTTTTCACAATTTTACTTCTTTAAAACTGAATGTATAACCTTTTGCTTCTCAATTAAGTAGTTTCTGTATTTTGGGTGTCAGTTTAGGCTTGGGTTTGAGGCACATGTGGGAGTTATTCAGTACCAGCAACTGGAAACAATATGATTACTTGTTTCCTCAAAAGTATTTTTAGCATTGAAAAGCACTGGGTGGTTTTATGATGGATGCATATCAATCGCATATCTTTCGGATCATTCTGAACATGGACCGAATGCAGCAGGAGAGTGGCCAGAGACTGACCCACAGCAGAGGCGGCTCTTCTCTCTACCACATGACAACTGTAGGTCTAGAGGAGATTGTGGACTTGGCCCCCGGCAGCCCCAAGGTAGTGCTTCCACTGCATGTCATCAGTGAGAAAAAGCCGAATCTGGTTGTGATTTGAAATTCATTTTCAGGTTTTAAAACGGTAACAAGATCCCTATACTGTACATAACAGCCCAGTAGGAACTGGGCCACAACTCATCAATCAAATATACTAACATTACTAAAGCAGCCAAAATTAACATTCATACCAAGAGTATTGTTGATGTAGTTGTTGTTAGGTGCTGATAATTCAGTTTCAACTCACAGTGACCCTATGCACAAGAGAACACAACACTGTTAGGTCCCACTCCATCCTCACATTAGTTGCTGTGGTTGAGCCCATTGTTGTAACCGCTGGGTCAATCTATCTCATTGAGCGTCACCTTCATTTTCACTGATGTTCGGCTTTATTAAGTATGATGCCCTTCTCCAGGGATTGGTCCCGTCTGATAACATGTGCAAAGTATGCAAGATAGTCACACCATCATCTCTTCTGTAGAGTATTCTGGCTGTACTTCTTCCAAGATAAATTTGTTCATTCTTTGTCTAGCTTTTGCATGCATATGGTGGCATGGGCCAGGAGTACCTTAATTCTCAAGTGATATTTTTGCTTTTTAACACTTTAAAGAAGTCTTTTGAGTCCAATGTAATGCGTCGTTTGATTTCTTGACTGCTGCTTCTATGGGTATTGAATGTGGATCTCAGTATATAAAATCTTTGACAACTACAATCTTTTATTCATTCATCTTGATGTTGCTTATTGAGGGATGTTGTTTTTTTCTTTTATGTTGAGATGTAATCGCTTAGTCAGCTAAATAAAGATTTTAAACAGCTTTCCATCAGTTCAGCTCTGGTAGCGTAGTGGTTACGAATTGGGCTGCGAACCTTAAGGTCAGCGGTTCGAAACTACCAGCTGCTCCGCGGGAGAAAGATGAGGCTTTCTACTCCCGTAAAGATTTACACCCTCGGAAACCCTGTACAGGGTCGCTATGGGTCGGAACCGACTCGATGGAACTTAACAACAACAACAACAGTTGATGTTTTGCCACCAAAAAAGATAATGGTAAATTTATGAATAGAATTAAGTTTCATAGTGCTAAGTTCTGGAACCTTTGATAAGAATTGTGGTCATTTGTTTTTCTTTGAGACATATGTATAGATTCTTAGTTGTTTCTCTAACTTCTAATTTCCTTATCTCTGACTTGTCATGAAGACTGTACTTTTTGCAAGTAATGAACCCAAGAATATAAACTACATTGTGCCCCTAGGAAAATAATGTGTGAGTGGGTTGCATAGTTGGCAAACATGTATGACACATGCATTATTTGTATAAACATATGGCACATCTTTCCTGCTTGCATTGATGATTGTATGCTTCTTTCCTTGATTTTGTGAGTTAACTACTTAGTTAATACGTTTTCTTTTATTCATATTGACAGTATTAGAGACTCTGTTTGTACTTTCTGAATAGAGCTTTAGTTACATCTCATAATCTTTCTAGGACTGCTCTCATTTTTATGGTTTATAAGATCATTTTATTACATTCTCAAGCTCCCTCTTTGTCTCAGCATGTACTTACCAAGGTGTTTTATAATTTCATGGTATAGGGATATGTTTAAGCTTTAGTCATTAATTCCTAGTGTTATTGCATTGCGGTATTTATGTATTGCAGCATTTAGTATTTATGGAGTGTGCTGTTAATGTAATGATCTTATTTTTTTTTTTTAAATAAAGCAAAGCCTACTAGACCTTATATTTTCAAATGAGTGCTATCTCTCAAAAGATGATTATTCTACCCATGTTTCAATTACTCAAACATTTCTCAATCTTCTTGAATAGAACTATGAGTTTATGTACCACAAAAATCCAAACAAAAGCCAATCTCTTTGCTTTATAGCTACATTTTGATGAAAATCAGTGCTGTTTAACCTTTCTCCATAGGTACCTTATCTTTCATAAGTGTCAAGTGAATGTTTTCTAAAGCACATCTATACTCAAGGGATAAAAACTCCCTCCATTGAAGCTGATTTAAAAAAAAAGATAACCAAAAATAACAAGGGGGAAATGCCAAATTTGGAAAACAGTGGCATTATTGAAAAAGTATCTTCTTGAATTCTTCCCCTTTCTACCAACACTACGTTTTGCTGGTTCGTCCATCAAAGGAGACTTATTTATGATCACACATCATGTGATTTTTTTTTTATGTCACCAAAAGGTCATAATGCTTGATTGTGAACTGCAGGAGAAACAAGAGTACCGTATTCAGATGCAAACTCATTTGTGACTCAAGTCACCTGAATTCTTAGCCCAGTAGTCACTGTATTGATGGGGCTCTGACTGAGCACTATCCATTTTCTGAGCCTTGGTTTATCCAGAGAAAATGTTATCATTGGAAATACTGTCTTATAGACAAACAGCAAGAAATATGGGAGATGTTTTGACCTCTCAGAGAGAGCATCAGGGTGTACATATTGGCAATAGTTAATGTCATTATAATATGAAAGGCGAGAGTATAAAATGGTGGAATCCCCTAAGTTTAGTGCTTTGATTTCAGACTCATTTGATAAATTTCTTTTCAAGGCAACATGTAACCTCACTTTGATTTGTTGTAGTCATCCTGTTCCTCCCAAGAGAAGTTACATCAGTTACCATACCAACCTACACCAGATGAATTACACTTTTTATCGAAACACTTTTGTACCACCGAAAGCATCGCTACAGAGAACAGATGCAGGAACACGCCAATGCGCCCTCGTTCCCGAAGTTTGAGGTATGTAGACCTGGCCAAACCCTGTTACGTAGTTGGAGTGTATATAAATTTGTCCCTTTATGGATTAATGTGGTGGATGCAAGGTGGTTTTGAGCCTCAAGGTCAGCAGTTCAGGCTCACCAACTGCTCCTTGGAAACCCTGTATAGGATCGTTATGAGTCGGAACCAACTCTACAGCACTTAGCAACAACAAGAAGTTTGGTTCCTCAGGAGACAGATTCTAAATTAGAGATTAGTGTTTGGGGTGTTTATTCATGATTCCACAGTTGCTTTTGGGATCAACACCAGTGGAAGGAAGTGAGGAGGCAGGACTGGACAGAGAGAGAAGTTGAGCTGCATCACAGACCCTACAGCCTTAGCTGACCCCACCGGTGTCTAGGTGTCAGGAGCCTGTTACCCATCACAGTTACTCTCCTGGCCTAAAATGGCCTGGCCTTCTATCCCCACCTCAGTCACAGGATGTGGGCACCTTGAGAAGGTCCTGACTAGGAAAATTGGCTCACATCAGCCAAGACAGTCCTCAGAGGGCCTAAATACAGAAGGCATCTGCCAACAGCAATAGCTAGACTATGGGTCCTTCTTGAAAGGGCATAGGGCCATATGTCTCCTTATGCACCCCAGGATAGATCTGGTGCTGTAGGAATGAGTGTTTGGCTATAATAAGGTTTTGTTTGTTCGTTAAGTTGAATATCAGAGTTTGCTACAAAGGGTGCCCTTGTTTCTTTTGTACCTTTCTTCCTTATTTAGTATCATAAACACATACCAAACGTAGCCAAATTGGGTAATTGTGATATGTCTTAGATTCTTTTGAGATACAGAATAAAATATCAATTTTACAATTTCATCTAGAGGCACTGTGTTTTATGACACAGGTCTCATTTTGGATTTTATAAAAGAAGTTCCTGAAATGTCCGCTACAATCCTTATCCTTCCACGAATATATAATATTCACCCAGAAGTTGCATTAAGTGTATACCACTAGGAACAGACGCAAATTTACTATTGAAATAAATGGCTAATGAAAAACCCACAATGGCTGTATGCTTCTGTTTCATATTATACAGAATGCCAACCTCAGCATTCTACATCAATATGGACTAGAAAATGGATTTCAATTATGGTATCTGTGCCATGGAAAACACTTAAGCCACTTCAGTGGCATGTGGCAGAGCACAGGTGTATGATCAAAGTGTGAAATTATACTGACAAACGTGTCCAAGATGTTGCTGTTTGTATTAATGTTTATAACTCCTTATTTTGTTTTATACTGGAATTGATTAATTGGTTCCTTGAACTACACAAACTTATACTAAATGCAGAGTAAAGTCTCAATTTGAGAATGTCTTCTGCACCAGTTTTGTATTGCATTTGTAATTATTTTGTAGCATTCTATTTCTTGAACTTTCTTGCTGAACCTATTCAAGGTATCTCTGAGTTTGTAAGCCAGTACATGTGTGTGTGTATACTAATGACTGATTTTGTAGCTTATTACCCAATATACTTTTTCTTATGCAGGTTGCATAGTATTTTGATGCAGCTGATTGTTGACAAATAAAAAGCTTATTTTCATTCCATGCTGTGACAAAGTTTAAAAGGGTAATTTGCTTTACTTGCAGCCCCGGACGTTCTCCCGCCTGCTGTGACCATGAAATAATTATGATGAACCATGTCTACAAAGAAAGGTTCCCAAAGGTAATGAATTGAATTTAAGATGCCTCAGATCGAAAGGAATAGGCAACCTAAGTGTGGAGTCTGTAAGGTGGTTTTGTTCTGGGAAGCAGTGGTCCAGCGCAATAGTAGTGGCACCAAAGCCTGATTAGAAAGCTAAAATTGCTGAAATTTTTAAGCTAAAAATTGCAGAGAATGAACGCTTCTCTTAGGTTGAACTGCGTCTCCTGTGAATCCTACTGGTTGTGTGTCACACACTGGGTAGCCTTGAGAGACATGACCTCGAGGATCTGCTTTGATGGGCCTCTGGACCAGGTGTGCTCCTTGTCACCTAGTCTGAGCCTGTTTCTGTGTCTTCAAACAGAGGCTGTTTTCTCCCTCAGAAGCCTCAGCAGTCAGGAGAGTTGTTGTTGTTATTTTAGCCTCATTTTCCTTTTCTTTGGCTTCCCATCTCTTTCACCATTATGTTTCTAATTCTATTTATTACCTTAGAAGCGAAGACACAGTTGCAATCTCCCCCAGTTAAACTATTAAAAGGAAGTTGAAGCGAGCCAGAGAGGAATTTATGAAAGGGTAATGCTAGGCTTTGGCTGCAAGGAGCTGCCATCTGATAGGCCTGTCCCCTGCTGTCCATGCCTTCCCCATCAAAGTGTCTCTGCATATTTGGGGAAAGACAATTCCTCCATGTCACTCTTGCCCTCACGTTGTGCCCTAGGCAAGAGAACAAAGGGACATCTTTGGTTTCATAAATCAGGAGTAGAGTACTTCTTATTTTTAATGAACCCAGCGTTGATATCATTGATTAAAGCTGTTTCAGCTGTTTATCACATGTCACTTGTCCACCAGGGACACTGATACTGACTATACCTAGTTAATGCTGGGAAGGTTTGTAGTGGAATGAGGAGGAAAGGAGAAGAGGGAATCGCTCTGTATATATAACTAACTTATCAAGGAGGAATGATTACGCAGTAGGTGATTACTATAAATGAAATGAAAGTGGAAAGTGAAATTTTTAAGTTTTCACCAAGGTTTCCCCTTGGGTTTTACACATGTGTCCCCTTAGAATGCCCAATTTATCATTTTGACTACCGTTTTAAAATGATGTCAGTTGAAGACTGTAGAATTATTCAGGAATGAGTCGGAGAGATGGAAACAGTACCATCTCAAATGTATAGACTCACATACAGGAGATGTGGAGAAACAGTAGTTTCACATTTTGATATTTTTGTTTAATGAATTGTGTAGCAGTACTTTTTTGACTTACCCACGTTTGTGCGCACACATGTATGTGTGTAACATATTATTTATCCATTCATCTGTTAGTGGGGCCATAGGTTGTTTCGACCTTTTTGCTATTGTGAATAGTGCTTCAGTGAACATTGGTGTACAAGTGTCTGCTTAAAGTTCCTGGTTTCAAGTCTCTTAAGTATATACACCTAGTAATGGAATCGCGGAGCCATAGGAAGAGTCTGTGTTTAATTTTTTGAGGTTCTGTTTTCCATAGCTATTATACCAAGTTATTTTCCCACACAACATGAACAGAGATTCCAATTTCTCCACATCCTTAACAATACTTATTTTCCATTTTTCTGATAATAGCCATCGTAGTTGGTATGAAATGGTCATGATACATCCTTATGAGAAAGGAAGAAAGATAATACAAGTTGTTTACATATAGTACATTAAGACTTAGCCAGGAAAATAAACTCTTGGCTTGCTCTGTGGAACTCCAGAAAGCCTTCATTTTTTAAGTAGTCAAAATTTTTTAGTAGTCAAAAATTTGTATTTTTGACAATTCACCTTAAAGGGCTCAAAATCTGAAACGAAAGTATACTAATTCACAGGTGTTATTTGAATTGTCAACGAAGTTTGCAAGTATTGTTTTATCTTTGCTATAACTTAAGGGGAAATAATGCAATTTTTATCTTGAGGCAGTTTCCCTTATATACCTCAAGACTTCTTCTACTTAATGGGACTTCTTTTTAGTTTAATTTCTAAATTTCTATTTCACCACTTGTGAAGGTCTTGGAGGATGCTAGGTAAATATGATGATTTAATTGTCCACATCTGTGTTTCCTATGTCACATCTGTGTGTGTGTGTCTTCTCTAAATAGGCTACAGCTCAAATGGAAGAACGTCTAAAGGACATTATCACCAGCTACTCTCCTGATAATGTTCTTCCTCTAGCGGACGGAGTGCTCAGTTTTACTCACCATCAGATTATTGAATTGGGTCGAGATTGCTTGGATAAATCCCATCAGGGTCTCATCACTTCCAGATACTTCCTTGAATTACAACATAAATTAGATAAATTGCTACAAGAGGTATGAACCATTCACCCTGAAAAGTTTTATGGTTTATTTTGTTTGACTCTTAAACTTTTTTTTTTTTTTTCATGAGAACATTTTCCTAAAATTGTTACCATGAGATGGTGTTCATATTTCAGGGAAGCAAAGGGAAAAATAATGATTGCTGCATGCTATAAATTGATTCTGGTCATTATTTAGAGAAATAAGAAGTTAATGCAATATAACCTTTACAGGAACCTTGGGCCCAACAATGTATAACTCTAGTATAAGTAGATTGTGAAGGATTTTTAAGCCGTGATTTTTGTCCCCCTTCACCATAATGCTATAAATTGCCTGAATGCATGTGCATTATTTGATGATGCTATCTAGTTCTAATATCTGGAAGAGCTAAATGGAAAATTGCTGCCTTCTTCCAGACTTGGTATCCTATTAATTAATCTGCAAGGTGTTGAGTAGTAAATGGTAACTTATTAGTGTTAGTTCTTCTTCTAACAAAATATCCAATTTCTAAAATGACAGATAAACATAGAACTTGTCTAGGCCTAACACTTGTATAGCTCCTGATAACAACCAGGACAGGAAGGGAGTATGTTTGGTGGAATGGAAACTGTACGTAATAGTACCCTTCTGCTTGAAATTGATCAGCCACAAGTGAAACCTATTTAACCTACTTGTATTTGGATAGATTGCATTTTTTTTTTTTTTTTTATCTCATAGGACGTAAATCTTGCCCATGTAAACATAAACATAGATAATCTTCTCAAAGCATGAATTTATGAATAATTGCTACAACTAAAGAAAAACACTAGCATCCTACTTTTCCAGAAATTCCTATGTCCTTGTTCCTACTAAATTTTGTTCTCTTGAGATTTTTAATTAAAAAGAAAAATCCCCCTTTAGTTAGCAGTGTTTTCCCCCTTTCTCAACTATATTCACAAATAGAATTTTTTTTTTTAAGTTTTTACTGTGAATTAAGTGATAGTTTACATGGGAGAACATCAGTTTTACAGTCATCGTTTCATTGCAATGATTATAATCCCCGCCATGCATCATCATTCAACAGTATTTGTTTCTATTCCCTCTGTTTTTGTTGTTGTTGTTGTTTTGGGGGCCAGGGGAAGGATGTACACAAAAACACTCAGGAATATATAATCATTTAAATAATCAAAGGGCATGTTCTGCAAGCCTGCCTCCTGGGCACCAGAACACAGCCTTTCTCTTTTCATGAGTTTAGAGTCCTCAGCTGCTCTTTCTCTCCATGCCCTCATCTCTGCCTCCATTTCTGGTGTCACTGCTTCTCTAGATAGGGTCCTGCATTCTGCTCATGCTCTTTTCCTTTGACTCACCAATAGAATTTTTGATACTCTGTGCCCATTTCTCACATTTCATTTAAAGTTCACTAAAGCTTGGCTTCTCAGACTGTATTTGGTAATGAACTCATTGTTTTGGGGTTTTATTGTTGTTAATGTCCAATCAGCCATGAATCAATTGTCTTATAAATTAAAAGGAAAATTAATTTCTAGAAACCTGAGCATGCTCGCTCGAGTCACATCGTTGTTGTTAACTACCGTTGGGTTTATTTTCACTCATTATAACCTTGTATAGGTTTTCTGAGATAATAACTCTTTGTGGGAGCGCAAAACCTCTTCTTTCTCCCACAGAACAGCTGGTGGGCTGGAATCAGCATCCTTGTGGTCCCAGTCCAGTGCTTTTCCTGCAGAACCTCCGGGCACTTTAGTGTCTGGTATCTTGGTGATGTAAAATTGTGTCTTGTTGGTGTTATTAACTGCCCTCAGTCAGTCCCCAGTTCATGGTGACTCCAGGTATAATAGAATTTGACCATTGTGATCCATTGGCTGGTTTGGAGAGTGGATTGTCTGGCCATTCTTCCTAGGCTGTGTTAGTCTGGAAGCTCTGCTTAAACTGTTCAGTGACATGCGAGGTTCCCTGACAGACGAGTAATGGCTGCACTTGAGATCCACTGGTTGGGAATTGAACTCAGGTCTTTTGCATGGAAGGTGAAGATTCAACCAGTGAGTACCACTGCCCTCACATAATTGTTGAAAAAATTTCCAAATGCTTATTTTCAATATTTCTACTCACCACATCCTAATTTATGGTTTGTGACCTGTCTTAGGATCACACTTTGAGTAGTACTGTTGTTGTTGTTGTTAAGTGCCGTTGAGTTGATTCCAACCCTTAGCAACCCAGTGTTGGGTTTCCAAGGAGCAGCTGGTGAGCTTGACCCACTGACCGTGCAGTTCCAATGACTTTGCATTCTGACGCATTATGCCAGTAAGTCAGTGAAAGGGGTTCAGAAGCCATTTACTAGATAAATATTTACTAAGCACCTGTGTCGCACATCATTCTAAGTGAAAATATACAACATATCGCTGCCCACTGAATTTATACTTTACTACAGTACTCTGTAGTAGCTGGTAGCGTAGTGGTTATGAATCGGGCTGCGAACCACAAGGTCAGTAGTTTGAAACCACCAGCTGTTCCGTGGGAGAAAGATGAGGCTTTCTGCTCCCATAAAGATTTACAGCGTCAGAAACACTGTACAGGGTCACTGTGAGTCGGAACCGAATCCACGGCACATAATAGCAACAACAAACAGTACTCTGGGGAGTCCTGGTATGGCGCTATGGGTTAATGCTCCAGACTGCAAAATGATTTGAACTGCAAGTTCGGTGGTTCAAGTGCACCAGAAGCTCCTGAGAAACCCTATACAGGGTCACTATGGATTGGAACTGACTCGACGGCACTTAACAACAACACAGTACTCTGGAGTAGAGTATAAACACACAATCTGTGTGTTAGCAGATCTCTCTGTAATCTCAGACTTCTATGTCCACCTAGCTGCTGAATACTATTCCATCTGAACTACCCACCAATGAAGTAGATGCCAACCTGCCCCAAATTGGAATGAGCATTTTCTCGAGCAAACCTTGCTTGTCTTGCATTCTTTACTTCCATCATTGGCATCACTGTTCCCTAGACACTTGTTAGAATTTGGAGTTAATAGACAACTCCTTTTATCCCTACCTTCCCTCAACCACTAGACTTTCAAAGTGTCCTTCCTAAATAGTTCTCCAACCCTGCCCTCAGCTTCTGTTCTACAACCACTCCCTAGCCCAGTCCCTTGTTCCTTTTGGTTTGCATTTCTCCATTTCTAAGCCCTCAAAGTCATATTCCTGTGCAGATGCCAGAACATCAAAATCTCACACTCTTCAGTAACTCCATTCTGTTTACGTGTAAAAGCCCCAACGTGGCATATGTGATCCCCAGATGCACTGCCTTTCTCTCCATGTCTTTAACCATAATGCATTGCAGTGATCTTTTAGTGAACCTCACTTCACCAGCAGACAGTGGTTTCTTTGAGCATAAGGGACCATTGCCTGGCATGGTGTGTATCAGTAACTCAGTAACTCAGGAAAGGAAGAGAGGGGCAGAGGATGGAGAAGAGGGTGGAGGAAGAGCTAATTCTGCTGCCCAATTTAACCAAGTCAGCTTCCCAAAAAAAAATGCTGGAAACACTATGTATATTACTCTTTATGAGAATGCCTGAACAATTGTAGTTTGGTATTTGGTATGTTTTTGAATGGAAGAGTCAAATCAGAGAGGAACTCTGTAGTTTGTGTCTGTGAGATACTTCTTTCATGCTAAAATTCTGTCCCAGGATACTACCACAAATAGTCCTTCTGGTGTTTTTCATTCTTTCATAGGCATTTGGAGAAAACGAAAGAATTGATATCCAAAGTGATTTGCATTGATGCCCCCAAGTTAGTTTTGTTTCTGTAAAGTCAGCAGTTCAAGCCTACCTCAGAAACCATATACAGGGTCATTATGAGTTGGAACCAACTTGGTAGAATTTAACAACAATAGCATGGCAAATTTGGCAGATTATCCCATGGAGATTTAAAGATATATGTATTAGGATACATATTAGGAGATCTTATGAATTGGCCGTTATAATGCATGAAAAATTACTTATTTTTTTTAAAGAATATCTCTTTGGGGCAGAGAAGCATGTATAGTTATAGCATTGTTAGGCATGAATAAGAATGCTTTTTGTTATATCTTTCACAGATAAACATTTTCTTTCAATCCTTTTGTGAAAATTAAAACTATCTTCAGAATCATATTTATATTGTCCATCCAGAGCTTGGAGCAAAAATATTGGCAGGGGAATTTGCCCTTTCTAGGTAGAAGAAAATTGTAGGAACTTGCTTTGGTTTCCCCATGCTACAATTGTTGCCAGACTCCCAGCTGCTTTCTCCATTGTCAGTCTTTTGTGTAGCCAAGGAAAGGTACCCTTGAGGTTTGAGTAGTGTGATTTAACTGATGCCTTTTTAAAGTCCTGAGGTCCAGGTCAATTCCAGATGAATGCTTCTATGTCTCCATCCGTCTTTTTTCATTTAGGTGTGTTTAGCTAAAGAAAATAAAATACATGGGAAGCTATAATCTACTCTCAAATCTGGGTCACAGTATTTTTATAGTAGCTAACACTTAATGCCCAAACACATACAGGTTATACATTAATGCTTCCCTTTGGAGCTTGCTACCAAGGAAGCAATTTCTCTTCTTATGCTAATTTTGCAGTGTTTTCTTTAACAACCACCCCACTTTTTTTAAACAAACCCCCTTCACACCAGTAAATAAATATTGGTTGAATTGAATGATTGTATTTGCCCTTGTTGTGGTGGATAATTTTTAAATGTACGAAGTACAATGAACTGATTATTTTTACAGTTTCGAAAATAGAATTTGTATAAGGGAAACTTTTTGTACTTTTTAATTGATATAATTCTTATTTCTCTTTGAAGAGACCATTAAAAGATATTCAGACTGCACTTATTTATTTTTATTATTGTATGTTGTAACCCTTATAGTTGTAGTTACTAATTGGTTTTCTTTGAGTAGATTCTACTCTACCTTTAATCACCAATGGTTATTTTCCCTGTTTTTCTGTCATTTAAATGTTAGCTGTTTTAACTGTATATCGTTTCTAGATTTACATTTGGGGAAAGTGCCTTTGATGTGATGACCTAAATTCTGCAAACACATTGTTGCTAAGTACAATAATGTTTCATAAATTTGGTCTATCGGTTCTTTTCATGTGAAGAGGGCTGGTTCTTGTCGTGATGAAGCACTTCCAAACATAATTGTAAATGTTTATTTCTGTGTCTGTGAAATTACATCGTACTGTACCGGCATCTCTTTGGCATTTGTTATTTTTAATCCTCAGATGAAAGTAAACTGTAAAAAATTGAAAATTAAGAAAACTTCAAAAGTGAACTCACACAGAGAGATTTATATTAGGACTTTAAAAATGCAGGTTGTGTATCTGCATTGTTACATATCTACCGTGTTTATTTAAGAAAATGTCATTGAAAATAAAAATGTCTACTAACAAACTGTAGGGTAAGCACTGGACTGCATTAATCAAAAGTCAACAATTTGAAGACTCCAGTCACTTGGCTGGAAAAAGATGAGGCTTTCTGCTCCTGTAAAAATTTACAGCCTCAGAAACCCTATACAGGGTTGCTATGAGTCAGAACCGACTGGTTGATACCTAACAATAACAAGATGAACAAACTGAGCTTGCTTTCCTCTGTGACTTTTTTTGTGCTTATTAGCTTTTGCATGCAAGTGACATGTAAAATAAAATAAAATAAAAATTGAAAGTTGGTAATTTTTTTATTGAATTGAGTGCTGCCTAGGTTTAGTCTAATGTATGAAATGGGATTTGTATGTATGTGTTCAAGTATAAGCATTATGTAGCTAACATTTATAAAAAATAAACATTTGCTTGCTTTTTACATGTTAGGAGATAACTAATTAATTATATTAATTAATTATATTCTGTATATAATACATCCCATGAACATACTAAATGCCCAGGGTAGCAAAACAGTTCTTTAGTCTCTCACAAAAAATAACCATGCTGAGCATTTCATACACATAAAATGTTGCATCTGCAAAGTAAGGGTTCAACTGTCCACTAAGCTTGTACCATATGCTCAATGAATCATAATCTTTTTATGCCTCTTGTTCATGTTTCACATTATGACTATAACATTTGATTTTTAAAAACAGATCATCAATAAAAGTCTTGCCATTTAAGTTTGGCTAGTAGAGCCATTTGGTAGAGAAGTTCAAAAGTGTCCATTTCTGTAGAGATGATCATGCTTGTTTATCCTGCAGAGATTGAAAAATTATTTTCGAAATCACTTAATTTTTGAATATTTGTAATTATCTAATTAGCATGCTTTGCTGAGCTTCTTTTCCATTTACTGGAGCAACTCCGGTTCATCATTCTCTTCGTTGCTCTTTTGCAGGCTCATGATCGCTCAGAAAGTGGAGAGCTGGCATTTATTAAACAACTAGTCCGAAAGATCCTAATCGTCATTGCCCGTCCTGCTCGCTTATTAGAGTGTCTGGTAAGTGCCTTACAGTGTTATTTATTGTTCGCTGTGGGAAAGCAGTGACCGGCAGACAGTTCTGGTCTCATTGGGTTTCAAGGACCCATGGGAAGATTCATAATGAACTGCAACTTGTGCTTTTGTGTGGGGACATCATATGTGCTGTGTCTTTCCTGATGATAAGTAAGATTTTTAGGACTTGTGTTGTATGAAATGAGAGCCATGTCACATTCTGAGCATACTTGAAATAGTATCATGAAGTAACATGTATGAGCTTATTTCAGTGTAATTACTTACACTTAGATGGAATTTCCGAGATTCAGAGGCAGGCAGTCAGAACTCTGGTACACACTGACCAGTGGTTATCATTGCTGTCTTGAACATACGGCGTGTTGGCAGGACATTTGGGAGAATACAACGGGGCATCGTACAGCCCTGAAGGAATGAGATTTTGGAGATTAATTCATGTTATCAAAAGTATTGTGAAACCTGAGAGAACTCAAAAGAGCCAACTTGTTTTTCCTGGTCTCCCAAGTTTACCATCTTTGACAAGACTGTTCTAACCACTTTTCTATTAACTCTCTTTGAATTTTCCTTCTCTGACAGGTATGGACCTGACACTCGTTTCCGTTTTTGTAGGTTTTATGGTATATTCTTTGACCAATGATCCTTTTCCAGTTTTGAGAGTTTCATTTTATTATTTTATTAAGTTTTGATTGAGATTTTGGTCAAAACAGGAAATATGACGCTGTGACATAAAAATTGCTGTAAGATACTTAATAGAGCGGGAAAACTTTTCCATTCCACTGGCCAGTAAAGTAATGATAATACCATGTATAGCACAGCGTTTTAGGATCATACACACATACATACGCATGCACACATTATGTACATATATAGTTGTACTGCTTTGGCATTTCTGCTTTAAAAAAAAA